GTGTCGTCTGCTGTTGTGATTGTGATTGCTGAGCAAAGGATTTATTAAAGTAGGCTATTGCATTAAGATATATTAACACTAATACAAACGTATTATTCTTACGTATTACCAAGTTGATTCGGTCAAATTTCGTACACTTTTGAAATCGTGGTATTAGGTATATTAGTATCCCCTAAAATTTATATCTAAAAAGTTATCTAGTCAATTTATTTTTAAAAATGACATCACCTTTCAATAGAAAATCCAAAGCTTCTAAGGAAGAGGAGAATTCTGAAATAACCATCCAAGATGTTTCCAAGGAAGCCCAAAGTCTGATTGATAAAGTTATTGGAGATGTTGGGAAAACTTCAGCTACACAGCAGTTGATTTTGGGAACTGCCTCTGGATGGTGAGTCATAGCCCTTACATCCAGCCTAGGGATAGGTTTTAGTTTAAGGCCATCAATTGTTTTCTTTCTAAAAGCTTCTCGGAGTTAACTTCCTCAATCCAGTACCTTGTAATGTCATAATTTATAATTCGATTAATTTTTCATCAGCAGGTTTAAGAATGTAAAAATATTTTGTTTTAATTTTAACCTTAGTTTTGATGTCGTTAAAGCCGCGTTTAAACGAAACTAGTTTGGCGGGTAGGCCTAGATACAGTAAACATCTAGGCTATATTTATATGTGTCCTTAGCACGAAAACTCGATTAAAAGTCATCCGATTTTGATGAAGTTTTGGTACCTAGGCTTAATCAAGTTCGCATACCAGTATGATTGATTTATGGAAACGGGAATTTCGGGGTAAGAATTAGCTTTCCCCATTTTTGACCCTCAAAACAAACAAATTGGCAATCTCTCTAAAACTTTAGAGCTTAAAAGGAGCCAATAATTTAATACATTGAAAGATAACTTATTTGAACGCCTAATGAAATGAAAGGAAAAATTATTTAGGCCTATTTACACAGGCAAAGTTAGGGTCACATGGACCTTTCTTACACTTAACCTGTACATTAATACAAATATTTTAACAATTTAATCAATTTATTATAGGTTGAACAAAACGGAAATCATAGATACAGAAACCTAACTAAAGAAAATTACGTGGGCTACCTACATCTTAAATTATATACTAATATACACACCTGTCCAGTGATCAACCATGCACCTAAGACACCCTGACCATGGCAATATGTTTAAAATACCGGTACATATTTTTTGCGCTGCCACAAACCGGAAATGGTTACATGAAACTGTAAAAATTTAGAATTTCCATGTTATTCTTATGGAGAATAGGTATAGCTTGCTAGTTTGCCTAGTTATTCTGCTCAAATTTTGCAAATTTACATAGGCCTATTTCATCCTAAGTAATTAACTTTTTACTAAAAAACACACCTTCGCTGTAGCAGCAAACCTAAGTACGTACTCGTTTAACCTAGTGTTATTTAAATATTGAAAAAAATCTGAAATATTTAAGTAAAAAACCAATCAGGCAGATGGAAATTCGCTTAGTCTGCAGCTTTGCTACAGCGGGGGTATTTATCATTGGCTTTGTAATGAAAGATCGTAGCGCATTAAAAGGCATATTTTTGGTGTTTATTTCAATAGTTTTTACCATGCATCATGTGTTGTTTTGGTTCTGCCAAAGAATCAAAATCTTACATGGGACAAAAAAACATACCTTAAAGGGAAGTGATTCATCTTTGCTTAGGTAAAGCCCTACCGGTACTCAAATGTAGGGGAGCCTAGTTAATCCCTATTTGACACTCTACATTTATTCAAACATGAACAGTTAGTTATAGATAGCCTAGCAGTAATCTAGGTTAACTTGGTTACAGTGATTTTTATAGCAGTTCCTCTGCCGAAACTTCACTTTTGGGGTTGAGACGAAACTCTTGTTATCACATCTTTCCTCTCGTTTAAGTAATAGGCCCACTTTTTGTACATTGAATAGATTTTTTTTTTAACTTTACTGGTACTGTTTAAGTTAAACAAAAATACAAAAATCTATGAGAGTGTAGTTACAAAGCACCACCTCGCACCTATACCACAACCAATAGCACTACCTATAGCACAAAGTATTTTTCATTATAAAGGCTACCATGTCATTTTAATTATACCAGTCGTAATATTTTGTGTGTCTTATAACTACAGTATCTGGGAATGAAATAGACTATAGAGCGATATCAGGTTGCTCTACACTTACCAGTGCTCGAATCGCTTTGTGGTTTTTAATACAACAGACATTGTTGTGTGGGAGATTGTGTAGTGTTCGTTTTGTAGCTGAACGACGACTCACTTACTTGGAGCGCTTCTCCAGCGGCTCTCTCGTACCGCCCCTGGCATTGGGAACAACTATCATCCCCTCCACAATGATGTTACCTCGTCCGACGTTAGCGGTCTTTGCGTTAACCAAATCAATGTATTTGGGGTGACAGTAAAAATCACCCTTACTGAAAATTGACCCGTTACAGTTGATGCTTCTCGGCCCTTCTTGTAAAAGTTTTAACTAAGTAAATTGCATGTTGGTTTATAACATGTCTTACTAAATTTAAGTTTCTAATTTTTTTTTATTGCCTGTACTATTAGTGTATTTTTACACTTTTATCAATTCAAATCCTGGTCTTGTTAGCAAGCGTCATAATACATTTAGGCTATTTATCTATCCACTACACAGCATTGATAGGCCATTGCGTGTAGTTAAAGGTAAATGTGATTGTTGAGTGAATGAGTTTATGGTTCGTTACTCACTATGATAAGCTGGTTCTTCTGCCAGGAACTCATACTGAAATATTGTTAAATTACTGAATATATTATTTTTATATACTGTTCCTGACTTCTTGTTTGCTTGCATACAGACTGTTCGGTTTGTATAGAACTTCCGGCTTAGAAAACTTGTTCACTGTTTGACGTTGAAGTTCTTGCAATCCACTAAAATAGCTCCCTTGATCCATAGTTTGGGAACCTCTGCATAATGTGATAAAAAGACTCTTTTGTTGGTTCAGTTCAACTGTATTATAAACTTGCTAAGCTGGGACTACGGTTAAGCTGACACAATGAAAATCTGTGTTGGCCGGACAAAGAGTAAAAAACACTCAAACACAAACATACACATCCACCACAGAAAACTTGCAGACACTTTACTTTTCCTGAAAAATGCCTGATTATTCTCTACATAAATAAATAACATTAGGTTTAAAAAGTATTTAGGTTAGCTGCTACAGGGAAGGAAAAAAGTGTTTTTTTCTGGTAAAATGAAATGCTGAGACGCATGTTGTGACCCCTCATTTTAAATCTTGGTAAAAGAAAACGTTTGGTGTAATTGAACGTTTTTTTTAAGACCACAATGGCGGCCTTTGTACTTAACTGTATCACATAAACTTTTAACACATTTCTTTAAGCCTATTTTGCCCGTTTGCAACTTTAAAGGATTTTAGACCGCCATTATGCACAGGTAGGTCGTAAAGATGTTTCAAACAGACCAAACGTTTCAGCAATACCTTTCAAATGAGGGGTCAAAAGCATGGGTCTCTGTATTGAAAGATTTGGACTTGAAGGGGGAGGGCGACAAAATGTTGATTTCTTACAAAAAGCATGGTGAAGTCCCAAAATTTATCTTCAAGCTGTTTAAATTATTTTTAAATTTTTAAGACTTTTTCAACACTCTGTTTATAAAGGTTATCAAGTAAAGTAAATAAATTTGCCAAAATTTACCAAAACATATCCATGAACAAGAAACTACAACAGTTTACTTTTTCTCCATGTGAATAACAGTTTTAATGTTAAGGGTTTTGGAATTTTCTCTGTAACCTTTAATTGAACAACAGTGCTTCAATATAGATAATTATTTGTTACTTTGAGTTCTTCACGACGGCTGTAATTAAAACTGGGCATTTTAATTTTCAAGGGTAAAAAATTTGAAAAACTAATTGTTTTTAAACTTTATAAAACCCTGTTCTGATTATCCTATTTTGCTGGTTTGCAAACTCATTTAAGATTATCCAGCCCTAGACATTCTTGCCAAACTTCATCAAAATCGGACCAAAATGACTTGGGTTAGCTTGTTCACATATACACACACATATAGGACTACGTATATATAATTTTAACAAATGGTGTTTGAGCCTCTGGAGACCTCAAAGCGCAAAAGTAAATTGGTCTTGTGTCTAGATCTTGGGAAACGATTCCGCAGAGATCATTCGATATAATGTCAAATGTAATTATTAGTTTGATAGGCCTATTTATAGCGTGTTATAGTTTATAGTTTAGTTATAGTGTTACAGTTATAGTTTTCAAGCAATATAAATATTGATTGTACATTTTTCAAGACCACTTTTCATGCTGTGCTGAGGCGGTTAGGTTAGGTTGGTTCAGTTTGTCTTAGTTTAACTTTTTTATAATGACAATTAAGGTAACATCGATCAAACAAAAGTTGATATTTTGTGTACCGGTAGCCTTATTTGTTAAAGAGATAAATTTACAATGACGTCGATTTGTATTCATTTCTTCTTTTCCATAGTTCCATAACCTAAACTAACTAAACCATGCCACAATGCACTGTAAAATAGAGGTGGGGAGTACTCTACGTTAAAAGCCCCATATAATATTAATATCAGTTGCAATAGTTTTATTGATAAGTTAAATTGGTTATTAGTTATCGGCTATTCAGTTTATATTTCAGTATTAAATTAGCTTACTATGTTTTTTGAGCTTATATTTAATTCTCTCTCTACCACATAAAGAGTCCTACTTTAAACATTATTTTATTCGTTCTAGGCATTAAAAGCTAGTTTAGTTGTATGTATGATAAGATTAAGTTTTCCATTTCAAAGGTAATACAGTCTCAATAAAATTTTACCCATTATACTCATTCAATTATAGTTGCCAATCCGTGGCTTTTAAATGTAATTTTTTCATAAAAAAACTTTGTTTCTGTAGTTCAGCAGTTGTTAAATCAGTTCAAAATGTTAATTTCCAACGTTATTTAGATTTCATGAAATTAGGAAGGTAAGAAAAATACAATTCTTCTGATCACAAATTTATTTCACATAGATATATTGAATTAAAACAGTCTAATATACAATGTTTTGATCTAAAGGGCATACCATAAACTACCAAATTGCATCTACATACATATAAATAACCCTGGACAATGATAACACATGATACTATTTAACATGATAACAGTTAACAGCATTATGAGTATTTAAATATGTATTATATACGTATATCAACTATCAATGCAAGTGTTATCTAGTCTACTAAATGCAAGAAGTATAAATTAAAAAATAAAAGATAATAATATTCACAATTGTATAATAAAGACATTTCTTTAAACCCTCAAAATACTTTTTTAGACGTTCACTTAAATGATTTTAAAGAGTAAATTAACAATATCTTCAATAAACAAACAGATAAATTATTTAAATACTTAACAAGAAAAAATTGTTATAAACGTTACAGTAAGTCAATCTTGCACAAAAGAACAAGAAACCTCTAATTGAAACTATTCTATCCAGAGAATATAATATATTTTTGCAATGTGGATACTTCTTTTGTTCTTTCAATTAATCAATGAAAAAACCCCGGCATGACTTTACATTAGGAATTGCAGTCATGCCAAAAGACTTACATACTCAGAAGCTATTAGCATAATCTACAGTGAACTGTTTGTATAATATGTAAGAGTAAGTGAAAGTTAACTTCTTCTATCACTGTAACTCCCCTTAGTAGCACATTTATCTGTACAGTTCATATCGTGCAAAACAACTACTTTTTTTTAATTTAAAGAATTCATTAACACATAATTAACAGACCACTTAGTTAAGCATCCATAAACTTTTACAATCATAATTCTTTTTACACTTTTTTAATTTAAAGAATTCATTAACACATAATTAACAAACCACTTAGTTAAGCATCAATAAACTTTTACAATCATAATTCTTTTTACACTTTTTTAATTTAAAGAATTCATTAACACATAATTAACAAACCACTTAGTTAAGCATCAATAAACTTTTACAATCATAATTCTTTTTACAATCCATCCATTCAAGTCACCTGTCCTACTAGTTTGTATATCGATGACCATATTACTGTAATCTAATCTGTTTTATCTATGTCATTGGCATGATTTTACAAGGGAACAGTTTTCAAAATTGGATCTTAATTAGTTTTTCTAGTCAAAAGGTTTTTGTATAATAATATAATAAATACTGTACAGTATTTAGTATCCCAATCCCAACTTTTAATTTAAAGCGACAGACATTCATCACTTAATTTTTATAATTTTAAAATGTAGGCTTATGTAGTAGGCTATCTACATAAACCTTTTTAGTCAATAATAGATTATTACATTAACCAAAATAGCCTGTGTCTTTAAATATCATTAATAACACATTTTACAAATACCAGCTTAAACTATAGGTTACATCAGGTTGATTTGATGCATGGGAAATTTTACTTTACTTGTATTACAGCATGGACTAACCTTAACGCAAGGTTACTTACTAACTAAGGAAATGTTTAATCTATGGGTACAGGTAAGTTAACATAACATTTTAAAAACTCGAATAAACTAAAAGATTGATGTAATTTACACAACAGTTTGTCAGTAGGCATTTAAACAAAATTTTCATCTCCTTAAAAATGCCATTGGCGTTCAAACAAAATTATAGCACACCAAAGGTTAGGAATGTTAGTCATTGATGGAAGACTAAAAGGGAATGAATTTTGTAAGATTTAACTGTGAGTCATACCTTGGGTTTAGAGTTTGTCACACAGCCCCAATCCTAGGTTATCTTTTTAGGCTGACCGGATACTTGATGATGAAAGTGGGGAAAATGGCAGCCGTGGCTGTCGGAGGAAGTATTATTCTTCTGCAAGTGGCCAACCACAAGGGCTACGTAAAAATCAATTGGGACCGCATTTACAGAAATGTTGAGGACCAGGTTGAAAAGATTACCGAAGATGCATCCACCTCCAAGAAGGGGCCGAAAATTCTGGACAAAGTAAGTAAATATAAACATAGGTATTTATGAAAAAGATCCAAATTTAGATAGCCTACAATGGTTTAGTGTGTAAATTTTGCTAGACTTGTTAGCAGTTTGACTCGACAGTAGCATTTCAAATCACGTTGAAGTCTAAAAGTTAAAGTTCCTGATTACCTGCATTTTATTTTTTTGCTTGGGTTTTTTATTCATAAAAAAAACGATAAAATCATTTACTAAGACTTTTGAGTTTGAAAATACTAGCTAACAGTAAACAAGGATTTATGTTTGAGTTTGAAAATTAAGCTTACTTTAAAATTAAGATTTCAATAAAAAAAATATACAGTAAATTAGTCGTCAAAACTTCTTGTTCTTTGTCATAAAAAACTAGGTTCACAACACAGATTAACTTAAATACATTTGAATATTAGCCTATAATTTCTTTGTTACCGTACTTTAGGCCTAACCTACTGTTACCTTAACCCTCGAGGAGGCACGTCACCAGTAAAACAGGAGCGGGCGCATGCGGAGTTTTATTCCGCAACACTAAATAGCACAAATTTTACCCATTTTACTTGTTGTTGTAACAAAATATTATATTAGGCCTACGGTAACTTAAATGTTGAATAACCTAACCAAAAACCTAATTTCTTTGTTAATAAAATTATTTGTTTAACTTAATATGAGTAATTATTTCAAATAAACATAAGTTATTGAGCAATTTTCTAGTATAATGGTATCACTGTCGGTGTTACGAGAGAGGGCGCGTGCTGAGTTTTGTTCCGTAATAATAAATACATGCAAACAAAATATATTTGATAATAATAAATGAAATAATACATTTAAACATGTTTATAATTTCGTATGTATAAAATATACACACAGTTTGACAAGAGCGCATGAGGGAACAAACTCTGCGCTAAGGACTTCCCGCACGCGGAGTAAACCTCTGCAAACTGACACCGCTTCACTGAATTGCAACTGACAACAAAATGAGGAGGAATTCGGGGGTAAAAATTGCTTAGGGGCATTCCCGGGATAAGGTGCGTTAAGTGTAGAGCCGGACACGACTGCCGACACCCATTATGAATATTTATGTATTAACAAAAACTACTAGTGCAGAGGAAAACTCCGCAAGCGCCCGCTCAAGTGTTAAAATCAAATTATAAAAAATCCACAGAGACGTAGATAGAAAAAATTGCTTTCACTAGGCTAGGATGTTTTCTATGGATTATCTTGAATCGCAAACAGTGTTTTACATAAAAATGAAATGAAAATGCTTCTTTATTGAGGCAAACTTAGGACCTCATGGTCCTTTCTTACAATTAACCTCTGACACAAAGAAGTGAGTATGTGTTATATGGTACGTTTTGAACTAAAAAATGAGTATTTCAACTTAGGCCTATTTGATCTTAATAAATATTTATGTTTGAATGTTTATAAAATATAAATTTAAAATGTTTTATTAAAATGCCTCTTACCATCCTTTGTAAGTTACTTGCTGTAATACCTGGGTTATAAGGTCTTTTCTATTGATTACCAATACTAACGGTTTTGCTTTTTTATTAGCTGTAGTCCTATAGTATAGGCTTTAGTTTGATTTAGCTGCAGAAAATATGTAGCTTGCTGTGCATTAAATGTTTATGAATAGCCTAAAGAGTAAAATGACCCCGAATGATGAATTCAAACAAAGCTGAACTGTTCAAAGTAGCAATGTCAGTTTGGACTAACTTATCACCTTTAAAACAATAAAATAATGAGCAGTGTTATTTAGGAAGTAGAAAATAAGCAAGATTTGTTTTTTAAAACCTTCCTGAAATTTAATTTGGATGAATAAAATCTAACTTTGGCATACATGTCTCTTAAGTAGGCCTAAGTAAAAAAAAAAAAACTAAGTTTAGCCTATTCTTAATTTAGGCCTACATGAAGAAATCCGAAAAAGATAACTAAACCTACCTACTTAGCGATATTTATATGATAGCCTAGTTTTTGTTTAACTTAACGGACAGGAATGAATTTCTATTTTACACCTATTATAAACAGGTTTATACGGTAATAGGTGAGCATTCAGTAAGATAAATATGTAAAACATGGATCAACTTAGAACTTGGGAACGGTGTAAGTTTACAAACAAAGGCTATAAATAAGTAAGTAGGCTATAATATCATGGATGGTTATTTTACCAATGATCCCCATCTAGAGTATAATCTAGGCTACTAGCCTAAATTCAAACCAGTACGGTACCACATAGAAATTCAAATCATGAAATAAGTTAAGCTACTTAGCGTTCCTGGTACCTACCTATAGAAAAGCAAGCTTACCTAATATATTTAATCACAACTATTGATTATAGTGTTTTCTTGAAGCGTGACAAGCCTTGTTAAGAGTGAAGCCTAAGTCCTTGATTCTGGTATGAAATTCTACTGGCCTAGGCTAGCTAAGAAATTATTAAATGTGTCGTTAATTCTTATCTAAGTTAACTTCAATATAAATGGTGCATTAAATGCAAAATCCAGTGTTTTCCTAGCTTGATCTGTCTAAGCAACATCTTTAAATATAGCCTTAACTTCATCAAACACTTCCTCAGCACTTCTGCCAGCATCAACACGCCGGACAAGGTTTTGTTCCTTGTAGTATTCAATAATAGGCATTGAATCATTCACAAATGTTTGTATTCGCTTTTTGAGGCTTTCTTCATTATCATCAGACCTTCCACTTCCTTCGGCTCCTCGCTTCAAGCACCTTTTGATACAAGTGTCTTGCGAACAATCGAAAAATAGTACAAAGAGGAGTTCAACCTTTTCTGCCATTTCCTTGTTCCAACCCTCCATGTTATTCTTATTTCTTGGAAATCCATCTATCAAGAATTTTTGTTTGCCCGAATTTTGCATCGCTATTTCAATTAATTTACAAGTAATTTCGACAGGAACTATTGACCCATTCCTGATGTGCTCCTCAATCAACTCACCATACTTTGTACCAGGCTTACTTCTTTCCTCACGTAGCAAATCGCCTGCTGAAAGATGTACAAATCCATACTCCTTGACAATATTGGAACATTGTGTACCTTTACCTGCACCTGGGCCGCCCAAAACAAAAACCACTTGAGGCTTCAGTGAGTCTCCCATTCTTGAAATGTATCTGCAAAACGAATGCACTAAATTCAGTCTCATAAAAAATTTCAATTACCAACGCACACAGATTATAGATTTAGTTATGTGTATCAATGGGAAAACACCATAGCAACTATCATAATCAACTCCTAGGTTTTTGAAGGGAAATCGACGTTGCAAATAATTAATTAGGCCTAATTGCAATTCTGACTCGATACGGTAACGGTAAAGTCAATCAGTCAGTTCCGTGTTCCGCGTCTGCTAAGGGCCGGTTGCTTTGCTTCTGCTCTCAGCTGACTGCAGACAGCCGAGTTGGCAAGTAAAAAGATGTACTGCCAACTGCTTAAAACAGTCAATTATGTACACACATTGTTTTTACAAATAACATGTATAAGTTTTTTTAAAATTATCGATTAATTTTATGAATTATTGTAAATTATGTGATTACTCATTATATTGTACTTGAATAGCAAACGTAACTTAAAAAAAATGACAAAATCAATACGAATATAGGCCAAATTAGCGGATTACAACCATTGATTAAACCTATGACTAAACGCATAGCTTATAATCAATGACTAAACGAAAACGACTAAACTAACCATTTTAACTTTCTATCATTGACTATATAACACTACGTAGCGTTATAGAATTTGGTAGTGTTATATAGTCAATGTTTCTATGTAGCAAGTACGTAACAAGTGTCATTTAACCGTCGGTCCGTCTGCACAATTTGTTTTTCAGGATCAGTTTTGCCAACAGTGTCTTTTGGAGGCTTCTGATTGACTATAATGAAGGTTTACTAATTGAAAAATTAGTTTTGTTCATAAAATAACATTATAATTGCCTCAAATTCAATTTTATAATTTTTATTATGAAATTAAACTGCCATAACCTAACCTAACCAAACCAACCAAACGTGCTGCTAATGAAATACCCCCGCCGCAGCAAACCTGCCGTCCAAGCGAATTTCCATTTGGCCGAATTGATTTTCAATTGATCTATTTAAATAACATTAGGTTTAACGAGTACCTAGGTTTGCTGCTACAAGGAAACTAATAAAGTAGTGTGTTTTTAGTAAAATATTGATAGCTTACTATAAAATAAATAAATTTGCCAAGTTTGATCAAAATATAGCCATAAACAAGCAAACTACAACATTTTACAATATTCTCCATAAGAATAACATGGGAATTTTAAATTTACCATTTTTTTAGTTTTCTCCGTAACCAATAACCGTACAAAAACACTTTGATATACTGAATTGTTTGTTTTTTTTAAGCTCTTTAAGAAGGTTTAGAGAAAAATTGGGAAATTTTGTGTTTTTGGGGTAAAAAGTGAGAAAAACCAATTTTTACCCCATAAAACCCCCCATAAAACCCTGTTCCCATGGACCGATCATGCTGGATCGCGAACTCATTCAAGTTTATCCCGCCTTACACCTTCAAACCAAATTTCATCAAAATCGGATAAAAATTACTCAAGTTATCGTGTTCACGGACACATATATATATATATATAAATCTATATATATATATATATATATATACTAGCTGACCCGGCGAACTTCGTATCGCCTAAGTTATAGGTTTCCCCTAAGACAGACCGATGGAAAGAAAGTACCGTTACGTTTAATTTTCAAGATGATCTCGTTCGCATCGCTCAATCACGTCCTGGTTGGAGCTCGTTCGCTGCGCTCACTTGCCTTCAGGTTAGCTCGTTCGCTACGCTAACTCGCCTCCAGGTTGAAGTTCGTTCGCTACGCTCACTCAGCTTTTGGTTGCAAATTAGCTGTTGTCATAAATGTAAAAGAAATAATAGTGCTGCACCCTGTACGTTTAATTTTCAAGATGATCTCGTTCGCATCGCTCAATCACGTCCTGGTTGAAGTTCGTTCGCTACGCTCACTCACCTTTGGGTTGGAGCTCGTTCGCTACGCTCACTCACCTTTAGGTTGGAGCTCGTTCGCTGCGCTCACTTGCCTTCAGGTTAGCTCGTTTGCTACGCTAACTCGCCTCCAGGTTGAAGTTCGTTCGCTACGCTCACTCACCTTTTGGTTGCAAATTAGCTGTTGTCATAAATGTAAAAGAAATAATAGTGCTGCACCCTGTTGGTAATCCTTGTAACTTTAATGCTATTGAACATCATAGAACAGAACCAACATGTTTAATTGAAACAGCTGTTAAGATTCATTAATTCCATTTCTCATAAGGTTAACATGGGAAACTCCAGAGCCACTGGGGCGGAGCCCTTTTAAGAATTTCGAAACGGGAAATAGTTTACTTCCTATTCGCATACCTACAGAATTTACACACCAAATTTCATAACGATCGGTGAAGTCGTTCCGGAGGAGTTTGCAGACAAACACTGTGACACGAGAATTTTATATATTAGATATATATATATATACATATATAAAAATTTGAACGAATGGTGTTTTTGGCCTCTGGGGACATTAAAATGAAAAAGTAAATCGGTCCCGGGCCTAAGTCTTACCATGAGACCTACGGTAATAGCTACTTCCCTATAGGGAAATTCGCTAAAAACCAAATGAAGGTTTATTAATCGAAAAAATAGTTCTGTTCATAAAATGGAATTATAAATGCCTCAAATTCAATTTTATAATTTTTTAATTATAAAATTAAACTGTGATAACCTAACCAAACTAACCAGACTTGCTGACAATGAAAAATCGAATGAAGGTTTAATCGAGAAAAAAAATAGTTCTGTGCATAAAATAAAACTATAAATGCCTCGAATTCAATTTTATAATTTTTATTATGAAATTAAACTGTCATAACCTAACCAAACCAACCAATCTTGCTGATAATGAAAAATCCAAGACAAAAAAAATAGTGCCATGGTTGAGATTTGAACCCGCTCCTTCAATTTATCAGCCCGGCACTCTATCCACTATACCACCGAGGCCGATAAGGGAGTATGTTTTATCTATGCCGATGGCATCAAACCGTATCGTTGCGGTAATTGTGTTCCCTCAGCCAATCAGAAGCCTTCAAATAACATTGTTGGCAAAACTAATCCTGGAATACAAATTCAGCGGTCTGTCTATGAAAGTGATCAAAGATTAAACTTGCTTCGTTACTTTTCTTGGCAACCTTTTAAACAGTAGCTTTGACAATTGCTCATGCATATCATTGATATTTGCTGTCGTGGAGACCTAGCTGTATTAAAATATAGTTAAGCATTTTGGTCATTTGTCACGTTTTCCAAACCTCATTGTTGGATTAAATAACTGTGTCGATCGGAGAAAAAATGCGCTGATACAAGGCTACAGTGGCCTTGGCGCTGATAGGCCTTATAAGATTTATTGTGTATCTAGTTTGTACCCCTTATTAAACTTCTGATGTTTTTCGGAAGTGTAGTGTATGGTATTATCTGGTAGTGTATTCATATTCATAAGGTGACGGTAACATATAAGCCTTGTTGTTTGTGAAGTGACATCAGCATTTTATTGGCTGTTTGATTTAAGTTTTTTTATTAAAACAGTACATCGATCAAGCACAGGGCGAAATATGGGTGTGATTAGTTGAGGTTTTTATATTGCTTTATATTGGTTCTGATAAGAGTACTAACTGTTATTTTAATTGTGAATGTGTGAAAATATTCCTTCAATGTGTCGTAGTTAATGCGTTTTCCTACCATCTTTTGCCCCAAGAAAGCACCGGCAACCAACAAGACCATCATCATCGTGATCAAGATTGAATGAAGATAGTGAATTCTAGTGACAAAAAAGAGACAACTTTTCTTGTGGTGTTTGGACAGATAGTGTTATTTGCAACAGATTTTTTCCTTTTTTTAAGCTCATTATTTTTATAGAAATTGAAAGGTTACCGGTAGTGGTTGTATTTGTTTTATTGATTAACGTTGACCATTGTAATCGGGTTACAACAGTTTAATTCTTAGAAATTGTCTGCAACCCCATATGAAAGTAGTTTTAATTAATTTGTGTTAATTAGACTGTGTGTAACAACAGGCAATAGACAAACATCTTTATTTGTAATATATTTCAGAAATACATTAGGGTCAAAGCCGTTCAAATAACTCTAATTTGTTTATTTTGGTTTACTGATTTTTAAGTTTAATTGCTTAGTGTGTTGATGGTTTTAATTCCTGACAAAGACGTACTTTGTTATTCTTACGTTACATTACTTGTTGCAGGTGACAGAATTTTTCAAAAGCAATTCTTACTTCTCTGCTAGCTTCACAGGTGGTGTGCTTATTGGCGTCGCTTGTTCTTGAAGTGTCAAGTGCTTCGTTTTCTGTTGACAAACCTGGAGATATCTCTTAGTGGATCTATTTTTTTGTCTTTTCTAGCTAACATTCAAGTTCTTTTCGGATCCAACTTTAGTATTATTAACTTTATGTACCGTATAGGTAACTTTTTTTACTAACATTTGACATAATTTGTATTTTTTGTATTGTTAGGTTTATCAATAAAAAAGTTATTGTACCATAGTAATTTTATTTTCCCCATTTGATTATACTTGAATTAAATGAATGGAAGGACTTAAGAAGAGGAAAGAGTTGGCATCTTGTTTCAGAAGTGTATGTTTTGTGTTATTGTTTGAGGTAGCTAAATTATGAGGATTGTTTGTAACCTAATTCACTAAAGCATTTTTCTCCATACACATTGTCCACAAATGGTAGATTTCAGTAGGATTTGACCCCATTTAACACAAAGTTAACAATTGGCCATCAGCTACTACAACAATTCTGAGCAATAGAGCTGGAGAGCAACTAAAATATTGGTGAGGGAAGTGCAGGATCTGGTGCCAGTGTAGATTAGAACTAGCTTGCTCCATCCCGATGTCAGCTTATTGGAAAATTACAATATACAGTCGACCGTCATAATGAAATACATTAGTTACTGTAACATCCCTTAATTTAGTATATTTGAGAGAGTTTGAGGTAGAAATAATCCTTGTCCATACTTAATCTATACACAACATTTTGCTTAAGGCAACGTTAGCTGTTTCAATACAATTTATTTAAGTAAAATATTTAAAAATTTTGTTTTGTTATTGAAAAAGAGATACAAATTTTTATTGTTTGGATTTGAACCTAAATAAAATAAATTTGACCTACTCTGGTGAATGTGTAGACCCTATAGAATTGCTGTTCTTAACTTGTGGTACAGAGACTTATACTTGTCTGTGGTTGTGGTACAGTAACTGAATCAGCTCAGAACAATTTATTAAAAAAGCCCATTAATTCTGACCCATCAGCAGCAGTAAGCGGCATGCAG